GCTAACGGAACTTTTTTAGTTTGATCAGTATTTAATGCAAAAAATTAAAGGTAAAAATTTTACTAATATCATTCTTACAGATGAATAAATTAGCATCATCTGCAAACATGATGCTCATCAGATTAGTAGCTTTATTTAGATTGTTTATGTAGATTAAGAAAGAAGAGGTCCGAGGATTGAAAGTTGTAAAATTCCACCGTTTCAAAAGATGTTGCTGTTGGTCTAACTTTGCGTTATGGTTGGCATACAGTTGGTTGAACATCGGTTGCCCAAATATATATTCAAGTTTTACTTGTACCGTTGTCATAACGTTGATTCCGGCATTTCTGCAAGTCAAGTTTCACTTTTATTAGTATTGCCTAAATAAGATTAGCATTATCTTACCCTTTTTCTCTCTATGTTTATGGCTCAAAGAAATTGCTCATTTTTTAATAGTTTTTTAGGTGCTCTATGAAGTCGGACTTCTCGAAGCACCTAATATGTATATATATTATCACAGAGCACCACGGAAGTCAAAGAGTACGATGGAAAAAATAAAATCGGTCTGTGAGTGATACATCCAACTTCCCATTAATGATAACCATAAAGCATTTTACTTCTTTGAATTCCTTTAAAAGTCAAGGCTTATATCAATAAAAAGCACACTCACTTATAAACTTGTTCTATGATTTTCATTAGAGGTAATTTAAATGCTAAAAACCTTGAATTAAAAACGTGAAAATTCTTTCTAAACCTTTCAAACCATCATTGTAATTGATGACAGTTAAAGCAACACTCAGTTCAATAAACTTTTTGTAATAAAAATTTTAAGATTATCAGGTTGAAAGCTCTGAAGACATATTGTGTTATACAATCAATGTAATTTTTTGACCGTAGTGCTAATAATGAGTCTTGAAGAATGTTTTAAATTATAAACGAATAACATTTAAAAGAGACTCCTTTTTGTTGTGCATTTTTGGAGGACAGGTGTTGATGCATTGGTACGAAGAATTTTCAAAAACTGAAACATGGCATTAATTCTTTTTTTAAATCTTCTGCAAGAAGTTTAGTTAATTATCAAGACTCAAGAATATAAGTAATTATCAAAAATTTAATTATTTGGTAATAAAAAATATAGAAAAGTTTATTGCAATGCATTATGTAAATTTGTTTTATACATAATCAACAAAAACAATTTATTTTAGTTTTATGTTATTAAAACATATTATGTTATATAAAGATGGAAAGCCAATTTAATTACACAAAGTTAGCTAATAAACTAAAAGTATGCTTTTTTATTAAATAGTTTAATTTTTACCTTATAATATAGGGTCCATATGAACACTGGAAAACACTGATTAAAGAATAGAAAAAACAAAAAGAAAAAAAAGTTTAATATTTTGGAGCACACAGTTTGTTTTGTCTGTTGTGTTTTAGCTCTCCTATTATCTTTGTACCTCGTGCACTTATGTCCTCGTTCCCCCTACCTCTCGGGGTCCTTGGTTCTAACAACCAACTTCTAGACCGTCGTATTCTTTTTAAATCGTGCTCGCACTAACTTTTATTAAATATAGACTTACTTTACTTTTTTTTATCACGTAAAAATATTTTCATATTAAAAAGTTTTTTGATTATGTTTTAATTTAGAAAAAGCTTGGTATTGCTTGCTCGATTTCAAAGAGAAGTAAGAATTCTTTGAATTTTTTTTTGATACAACATGTTTTTTAAGAATTTAATTAAATTTGCTTATTATAAAAAATTCTTCTTAGAAGTATTTTCACAGATTATTTAGGAATTTTTTTAATCGTAATTTTTAAAACAACTTTATTCTCAGGCTTCGCAAATTCAACTGATTAATCAAGGATCACTTCAATCTTCTATTTATTTTGTCAGAAATTTCGGTATGTATGTTTAATGTTAGACTTTTTATTTAGGATAATTGAGACACGTTTAAACAGAAAAAATACTCAAAAAATTTTACCCTTTTTTTTAAATAAAAAATTAATAAAATTATTTTTAATTAAACAGCTAAAATATTTTATACTGAAGTTGCTAGTTTAATAAACTTTAAATAGACGCATGCATTTAAAATTACTCGTATTTACTTGCAATATAATTCTAAGATAAATTTACTCATCTATCCTAATAATTAGTAAATTGTTTCTTAATAACAGAGGTAGCTTTAATTTACATTAGCAATGTTTACTTGTGCCAAATCGAATTTAGTTTGAGTAAAGTTTTGTTGTGTTATAATAAAGTTTTTTTTTTTTTATATGAATATATAGGAAAAAAAAAGTAACTTTCAAAGCTTAAAACATACAATAAAATCAGTGTTGAGCAATAATTATAAACAAAATACAGTCTGATACAATCTCCCATTTAGTACAAAGTTCTTTAAAATTTAGTACTCTTAAATTGTTAATTTCTTGGTTACTGGTAACAGATTTTTGACACGATGAAGCAAACTAAATTATTAATTTCAATCATTTTTTACATTTTTAATTAGACGCTTGATAGAAACCAAATATTTTTACAAGTACTCAACACATCACACATTACAACACAAATACTTAACAGCAACACGTGGATCTTGATTTGAGTTTTTCGAAGCTGGTTTTATCTGAAGCTAATTTCTTGCTCTTTAATAAGATTCCTTTTAAAATAAACCAATAAATTTTAATAACTTGCTGCTCAGAATTATTTGGAGGATTTGCTTTCTTATTTCTTTACTATACTACTTCGATGCTATTTTGTTCATACCATTTTAGAGACTTCTTGGAGTAGTGGATTATAGCCAAATCAAATCCAAATGTTGTAGACATGCCATGGTATTGTGTTTTATCTTCCTCCGGCTAATTGCCATACAGAGGCCACATTACCAAGGCCTGCGAAAACGAGTTCATGTTACTAAAGAGCATCATAACCCGCTCGCAGACCAAGAGTAAGTAAGTTTAAGAGGAATAAAGAATAATAGAGGAAAAGTCAGAAGAAGTTGAGATAGATACCATAGAGAAAGTGGATATTTCAAGAATGTGCAACTAATTAATACCTTATATTATAAGATATTAAGTTTTTTTTTATGTAAAGATGCCGTGCATTTTAAGGATTAACAAAAGGCGTTTCAGTAAGCATTCTTCCCAATTTATTATTTTTTAACTCATTTTAACCCAATAACAATGATGTGCCATACTTAACACCTATACAATCAAACAATGTTACATTAGCATCCTTGTGCATTAAAAAAATTAGTCAAACAACAACACACAAACATCCTTGCATTAGAAAAATCTGTCAAATAACAACACATTAGTATCATTTTCATTAAAAATATCTGTCAAACAATAACACACTAGCATCCTTGTGCATTAAAAAAACCTGTCAAACAACAACACGTTAGTATTCTTGCGCAAAATAAAATCAGAAAAATCTGTCAAAATAGTTAAAGTAATAGTAAAGTAGTAAAAATCCCCACGGAAAATATCTCCCCGAAAAAATCCCTCCGGAAAAAATCCCCCACAAAAAATAAAATTTTCAAAAATATATTGCTTTGAAATTGATAGATTGCTTACCCAAACCAAAACCCTCAGTCAATTTAGCGGCACTCCTTGCATGTTTTATCTACTTGTCAGTAGAATGTACACTCCTTGTATGTTCTACCTATTTGTCAATCGGTTTATGAAAAATTAAAGATTAAGGTTCTGTTTGTATTATAATTATGTATAAAATAGTTTTACTATGAGCAACTATTATATTGACATATTTTTTCATTGATATAATATATTTTATACGCTAGAAAAAAAAAATCCAAGAGGGTTTTTTCCGAGGAGACTATTTCTCAGGGGGGGGGGGGATTCTACTTTTTCACTTTTGACACTTAATAACTAATTATCTTACTTATTTACTGCTTTAATTGAGACAATTACCGAGTATTCGTCATGCTTAGCTAAAAAAAATTATAACTTTTTAAAAAGTTTTAAAAATTGTAAAATATTATTTTGCAATATCCAACTAGAATAGAAATTAGTGATAGAGTGCATCAAACGGCAAATTATTGGACTTAAAAATCAAAAACTAAATCATGCAACGTTAAAAAAGACTAACTTGTGGGTTATTTTGAATTTTTTATACAAAAGATATTAAAGCCTAGGAACTGACAGATGACATCAGTTTGTAGACCCTCACTATAACGTCATACCTCGTTCTAGAAAATCATTTAAGTTTAATGACCACGACAAAACTAGCGTATTTACAATCAGCTGATAAAGCTAGCGTATTTACAATCAGCTGATAAAGCTAGCGTATTTACAATCAGCTGATAAAGCTAGCGTATTTACAATCAGCTGATAAAGCTAACGTATTTACAATCAGCTGAGCAAATTCTAAGCAACAAAAGGTCAGCTCAAATATTAAACTAATCTTTTTCTAATCAAAATGTAAGCACTTATTAGGAGACGTTTATTTCTCAATTATCTTGGTATGTATTAGCTGTATAACAGCTGGATCTATATCTATAAAAACACAAATTTGATCAGGGTTTTCGATTCATAGGTAAATATAAAATTTATTCAACTCAGTAATTGAAACATATTTTGAAAGAACATTGGTTAAAGATGCCACGTGAGTAATGCATTAAATTAGAAAAACCAGTGTGTCCCTTATTTTGTCACGACGAGTCTTTGCTATCAAGAAAAAGGCGAATACCTAAAATAATAGAAAAATTTTATGCATCTCATCTTTTGATAATGTAATGAGTGGTTTTTTTTTGCAATAATTTTTCTTGACTATTTTAACTTATTAATTTTAATCGCATAGCTGAATATTTCTTTTTTTAAAAAAAAAAAAAGAAAAAGAAAAAAAAAAAAGGTTGGTTGAAATTGTATATGTTCATTAATTATTCAACATATAAGAATAACTTTTTTTGCTAAAAATTATTGACAAAGAAATAAAATATAAAACTATAAATTCATACAGGACTTTACCTAATACCAAAAAAATTAAAAAAAATATTTCGCTTAAAACTAAAAAAAAAAAATTTTTTTTTTTCAATTTTTTTATGTTTTTCTATGAGCACATCGAAATTAAAACCTTAGTGCAAAGAATACAAAATCAAAACCTAATTAATGCAGAAAGTTTTAATGTAGAAATTTTTATTAAGATCAATATTCATATTCTCGTAAAATTGACGTAAAAGAATTTTTAGTTACGTAAATTATTGAAAACTTAATTCGTAACGAGAATTCCTATCAAGTTAACTTGATATTGAACATAAATTGTATATTCTCGATCTTATCTTTCTAAGTCGACTTCCTCTGACTTTCTCTCTAATATTCTTCTTTTTTCTTAAAATCACTTAATCTTGGTCTGCGAAGCGGATTATGATGCTCTTTAGTAAAATGAACTCGTCTAAAGACGAGTACCGCAAAGTTGCGGCACTTGGTAATGTGGCCTCTGTATGGTAATTAGCCAGAGGAAATACCAAAACTGACGTAAAAGAATAATTAATCAAAAAAATATTTAGTCCATTGCACAGTGGGTCAGAAGCCGGCAAAACCTAAAAAATAAAGTTTAAAAAATCTAAATTTTTTTTATTTTAAATATCAGTCAATTATGTCTAATATACGAAAACAATATTATTTATGATAATACATTAAGTTTACATAGTAATAGCTGACCGCAAAGTATGAGTTCCGTAAGCATGGTAATGTTAAAAATTATTACTAATTTTTTTAAATTTCGCAGTGATATTTTTACATTTATTCTATTTTATAAGGTAAGAAAAGTCTATGCCACATTTTTGTATATGTATATAGACGAATAATTGATCATCAAAATGCCCTTATAAAAATTATAACTGTTTTTAATTTATGCTTAACTGTACAGACTATTTTTCAAATTATATAAGTTTTCTATTTTGTTATTTGTGCAAAAAAAGTAGTATATAAAGAAATATAAAAGATATGTACCTGATATTTTCAAAAGTACTTGATGCATACAAAAAAAACTTGATGCATCAAACAAAATTTTTTGCCAGTTTTTGCCAGTCTGGGCTAAGCAATGATTTTATTATGTAATAATTGTCATTTTTTATAAACCGGCCGGATTGTTATGTCATTAATATGATTTTATAGTCCGGACGGACTATATTATATTTATACTTGTCCCAACCTAAACCCTCAGTCAATGTTGCAGCATTCACTTGCAAGTTTTTCATAAATCAGTCAATGCAACAACACTCTCTTACATAAATTAGTATGATATCTGGTCTCTGTTTTTTGAAAAATCAAAACCTAACTTTGAGTCATAGTATCTTTTGATTACCATTTCCGAGTTGTTAACATTTGGAATAAGTTGCCTTTCAATGTTCTTAATGCCAATAATATCGACATCTTTAAGAGTAAAATTAACTCCATCAGTTTTAGAAAAATTATGCTCGCGTTGACTACATATCTTATTATTTAGTTGTATATAAATTATTTATTCAATGTTGTACGCTGTTACATAATTTATTTTATTTGGGGCACGTGGTTAGGTCCATCAATATGGACCTACGTGTTCTTAAGAACATGTATTGTTTGTTTTTATAAATACAATCTAATTTAATTTAATCAATACATATAAAAAAAACCTTAAAATATATTTAAACAATATCATTATAGTTTTTAATCAGTATTTTTTATTTTGATTTATTATGAGTTTCATGCAGCCGTGGGGCAATAGTTAGCTTTGGAGATATTTTCGCGTCACAGTAAGGAAGGAGGCTCGAAATTCCTGGTTAAATGCAGTTCTGCGTACTGTGACAAGACCGTTTGGTCTTCTTGGGGCACCTAAAAATAAAATTAAAAAAAAAAAAAAGGTTTTTAGATTGAAATTTGGCATTCTAACCCTCTTTGGTTTATTATTACTAAGCATAATATGCATAGTAATAATAAAAATTCTAACCTTTGGGTGGAATGCAAGAAGCATACTTGAGTCAAGCTTGACTTGAACTTTACATTGTAACCAATAGCGATAGAGTATGGTTTTTCCCCCACCCAAAAAAATACCCTTAGTGTTTGGTTTATCCACTACATAATTCTAATTGGTTATTATGCTACCAACATTTTTTTACCTCTTACACCGATGAATTTTTGCGCTTTGTGAGCTTTTTATTATGAATTTGTTACATTAACGACATTTACATATTTTTATGTTACACAGGTGATTATCAGTTCTCAATTTATTATCTAGAGTTTAGTACATATATAGTACCACATTTATTAGACATTTGTATGGTGCAATTATTTTAGTTATGTATACCATTATAAACCAGCGGATTTTTTTTGACTTGTTTACTCATAGATCATTGTTTCATCATTTGCTAAAAGATGACTAGAGTGTGAGTTTTTGTTCCTCTCTTCCTGAGTTGCTAACTTTTACTCCTCCTACGAAATTGTCTTTACATTAATTTATGTTTTTTTTTACCTAAATGACATCATCTTCAATCTGTTTTTATTTTCACATCTCCCAGGTCTACGTAACTGGACGGCTCCGTTGGTCACTTTTTGCGATCATTGATTCGCATAAGCAAAAAAATACCCTTAATGTTCATAAAATATTGCAATAAACTAGAATAGCATACTGGCAAAAAAAAAAAAACTTTAAATAATAATTTTGTTGTCAAAGTTTTTTTTAAACTTTTTTGTTTGCATACTTTGTTTTTCAATATAATAAACCGTTTTTAATAAAAAAAAATTAGTTAAAATATTTTTTAGGCTGAAAATTGTTTTGGCTAAAAAATGTCATTTTTGACCCACTGTAAATTGATATAGAAAAATCCCCGCAAATCTTAGTTAAATAAATAGTTCAGTAAAACAAATATCTATTAATAAGTCTCTATTAAAATCTTGAGATGTATTTGTAAAAAGTACTTGCAAAAGTATATTGTAATGAGTGGCGTAGGCAGGATTTTTCGATTGTTCAGATATGACAATCAATGTAAAGCATAGTGAAAATTCCAAGCTTAATTATTTTCATGCCTATGTCAAATAAGAAAGTTTTGCAAAAAAAATCACTGTGATTGGAGCCTTGAAACAAAAGCAACACAAAAAACTCGCAACTCCAACCCTGAATGCAAATACAATTAGTTAATAAAATTTATTTGTTATCAAATTATACTAAATTTAAATTTATCAACTATTTAAATTTCATTTATTAATCTTTTAAGATTCAAAAGTTATAACAATGTAAAATTTCTGCACATGCCAAAATAAGGGTGTTGTTAATTTCACCTTGTCATAACTTTCGAAACCAAGATTATTAAATGAAACTAAACATCTATCAATGAGTTTAATTTGATATTATATGATAATGGTTAAAAGCCGTTGGTCCTTTTTAAAAATAAATTAAAGCACAAACTTTTACTAGCCGAAAATCTAAGCACCCCATTTTATATGTTATGTATTTACTACGCCTAAGTGGCATAAGTGGTTAGGTTGCAACATTGTGAAGTAAACTGCCAAGGTTCATGTCCTTGCTCTTCCACGCTTTTATGCGGCCGTAACGCAGTGGTTAGAGCGCTTGCTTTATAAGCAGGAGATCCAGGTTCGAAACGAGCTTTGGACTTATTTCGCGTCACGATAAGGAAGGAGGCGTGAACTTCTTTGTTAAATGCACTTCCTCGGTGCTTTGTGACAAGACCGTTAGGTCTTCTTGGAGCACCTAAATAATAATATTAAAAAAAAAAAAAAGTATAAAAATTACTACGCAGAATACATATTTTCAAAAAGCTCATTTTTTGAAATGCGCATAAACCGCAGGCATGCATTTTTGTTATTTATTCTTAAATGACCAAAGTTACATGGCGACCGAATTTAGGCGATTTAAGTGTATATATATATATATATATATATATATATCTTATACATATATTCTTAATGTGAATATATATATATATATATATATATATATATATATATATTCACATATATATATATATATATATATATAATATATATATATATATATATATATATATATATATATATATATATATATATATATATATATATATATATATATATATATATATTATATATATCTTATACATATATTCTTAATGTGAATATACAAGTTTTGGTGTTATTAAAATTTTTAATAACTATTACGTTTTATCATGCTACAGACGACAGCGCTTATGTTGATCCGAGCATCTGCAGTAAAAAGAGATATGAAACGAAAACTGCAAATGATCCAAATGTTTTACGAAAAGTGAGTAATAGCATAAATAATATTGATCCACACAAAAAGAATACGAACAATCCTGATTATGTAGAACCAAATGTTCATTTAAACAATGAATCTAATGAAAAGAAAAATCCAAACTATGAATACCCATTAGTTAGTCAGCTTACAATTAAAAAAAAGGTAAATAATTCTTTGAAAACTTTATTTTTTTAAAAAGACTAATACTTTTTTTTTTTTTTTTACATTTATTTTGCTGTTTAACAATAAATAATCAAACAAATATACAAGAAAGAAAAAATATGTCCCTAGAACAAAGAAGACAGTAAAATCTTGTCAACAAGCACCGTTTTTGTATAAACAGTATAAAATATAAACTTTTCTTTTTACAATGATCTTCACAAAATAAAGAGTTAAACAGACAGGGACTCAAAGAAGATTAAGATAACAATACGTCATCACCTTCCTTTCATAGAGCCCCTTCATACATTTTCGATAGAATATAAATATTAAATTAAAAACCCTAATGGACATAAAACTGCTGCGCTGATCAGTAAATTAAATAAAGATAAAATATAAAAAAAGTTAGAAAATAAATAAAATTTCTTAGTTATTCGAATAAAGGAATATTCCTTTAAGCACAAAGGATTCTCAAATTTTAAAAATTTATTTTTTTATTAGAAACTTAAATGAACTTAATGACTTAGCCATACATTTGCTTAATGTGAACTTAATGACTTAGCCATATATTTGGTCCTCGATATGCAATGCTATATTCAGTATATTTATTAAATTTTGAGGCAGTTTATATGTGTTACTTATATTTGTTCTTAGATAATAGTTTTCATTTATGTTTAATTCAAACTTGTAATTAAAGTTTGCAGGAGAGATATTATTATTGAATTGATACATAAAAATTAAATGCTGATAGATATTTATTTCAAAAACATCCATCATTTTCATATCTTTCATTATAGTTTCAATGGTTGCGTACTTGCCCATGATATGATTGCATAGCTGATGAAGCAATGAGTTAGTCCAAAGTAAATTAGTTTAAGACTTTGTTTATTGATATATGAGCGAACTCGATACATCATACCAATTATATTAATGATTTTAAATTGAATATACCTTATTTGAGGAAGCTAGGATAACTTCTCATCAACAAGAATTCCTAAGAATCTAATACTGGCTTGTTTTTTGATTAAATTATCATTTAATATAAGGTCAGGCAACTTAAGAGAAAGGTTTTTTTTTTGCGTTTTTTTGTGTAGTAATATATAGTTTGTTTTTTCTGTGTTAAGTGAGAGTTTGTTAGCCCTAAACCAATTATTTACTTTATTTAGTTCAATATTTATATCTGCATATAATTTCTTGATATCACTGTTAGTAAGAAATAGATTTGTATCATCAGCAAACATGACTGAATTCAGTTTTAAAGATGCATTGCAAAAATCATTTATATAAATTAAAAACAGGAGTGGACCAAGGATAGATCCTTGGGGGACTCCACATAAAACATTTAATACTCCAGATTGTATACTACACACATATTGTTTTCTATTGGTAAAATAACTTTTAATCTAATTGTACATTTTATTAATTATAGCATAGTAATTTAGTTTATCTAATAGGATGGAGAGGTCAACTGTATCAAAAGCTTTTGATAAGTCTTCAAAAACTCCTAAAGTAAATTTTTTTGTTTAAAGCCATCAGTTATTTGATTAACTAATTGAATTATTGGGTGCTCTGTTAAAAGGTTTTTTTAAAATCCAAACTGGTTTGGGTAAAATATTTTGTTTTTAGTGAAGTGATTATAGATTCTATTATAAATTAAAAGTTCGAAGAGTTTTGAAAGTATTGTTTCTACAGAAAGAATGTTTATTACATTTAAATGTAGGGATTACTTTTGCTAATTTAAGGACATCAGGGAATATCTTAGTTTTATTAAAGATAACTAAATCACTGAATATTTCATCAAATCCTGATGCTTTTTTTTTTTAAAAGAGGAAAAGGCTTCTTCAAATTCTTTATAGTTAAATTCCTTATCGTACATGATTAATATTATTTGTGTGTTTTAAGTAGTTTTTAAATGAATCAGATGTTGGACTCATTTTATTAGCAAGATTTGGACCACTATTTATAAACTATTTGTTAAACTGTTTGCAATTAGACAAATAACTTGTAAAAATTGTTAAGCATTTCAAAATAATAAAAAAAGTAAAAATTTCATTAACTTTTATTATAGCCAGAAAATAATGAATACGAAAGCTGTGGACAGGTTCAATCATCGAACCATGAATACGTAGACATAATAGGAGGAACAGGCGAAAAGTTTCATTATTACACCGATCCAGAAGTTGCGCTTCAAAGTTACAAAAAAAAGAAGCAATCGGAGTATACAAAAACTGACTCTAAAAACTCAAACGAAGCTACCAACACCGGTTACGCAAAACTTTTAGTTAGTGAACGGCCATTGTCTGTAGATGTTAATAAAACAATCGAATCCGATAATAAAATTGAATCTAAGAGTCAATATACATCTTTAGAATTAGGTTCGCATGTTGTATTAAATGATAGCAACTCCAATGCCGTTCATGGCAATTCAACCGTTTATCCTGCAGGCTATGCCCGCTTATTTTTAGTAAACAGTAAAACATCTACAGATGTGTCACCGAATTATTTTCAGCTGGAACCAGACGCAATTGATGAAACCACTCTAGAAGAAATAGCTATTTAATTATGTTAATTATGTCAGACAAAATATTTAATTATGTTAATTATGTCAGACAAAATGGCTCGCAATATTTAGTTATGTTAAGCCATTTAGAAAAAATGTCTAACAATATTTAGTGTACAGAAATTTAGTTAAGTTAATTAACTAATAGTTAAAATTTAAATATTCTCTATTTTATATTTTTCATTTGTTGTAATATAAACGCAAAAATATTTTTAAAGACCTATTTATACTATTAGAGATTTTGTTTTTATTCTATCTTTATTTGACTTGTAATTTGTATCGTTACTTATAATACAAGTCAAGTTGTAATACAAGTCAATCAACGATACAACTTGTATCGTTGATTGATTTGACTTGTATTGTTATTTGTCTTGTATAGTTACTTCACGTGTAGCTTGTGTCTTTATTTGAATTAACTTGTATTGTTTTTAACTTTTTTTGCTATATTTTTTAAAACAACACTTTTTTTTGCTTTTAATTTTTTTTTTCTTATTTTGTCTTCTCAATTTTTTTTACAAATTTTATAATTTAAATTTCCATAAGATACAAGTAGACTTTTTTTTCATAGGATAAAGTGAAACTATTTAAAAACTTTATCAGTGACATAAGGTATTTATATATATATATATATATATATATATATATATATATATATATATATATATATATATATATATATATATATATATATATATATATATATATATATGTATGAAAATATAGTAAAATAAAAAAATATAGTAAAGCATCTCTATAGATGCTTAATTAATCAAATCAAATTTAATTTATCAAAATAATAAGTTATACGCAAAAAGCTGCGAGTAACCCGTCTAATTATATTTATACGTCATTGAGCATATCTCAGCTTCTATTAATATTTTTTGAATTAAATTTATAGGGTTTGTTCATCTGTGTATAAGTTAGTATGTGAATCAATTCAAAAAATCAAAATTCAATAAAAATCATGGGATGCTTTTTGTTGAATTTTACCCCTATTTTAATTTCCCCAAATACGTAGAGCCGCCATTATGGATCTAAATACAATTATAAGTTTTTACTAGTTTACATACTAATTTTATGAATATCCTGAATGCAAAACTAAACATCATGCAAAACAAATGTACAAATAACTAGAACTCTTTGTTTTAAGAAAGTGATGTATTTTTTTGCTGATTCAGCATTAAAAAACAAAAATAATATATATTTTTTAAAATAATAATACAAATATAACTTCTTTATGTTGAAAAATAAAATAAACTTTCCAACAAATTGCATTTTTTATTTTTTACTAGACGACAACTTTAAATAAGTGTTAATTTTCCCTTTTTTTCCCCTTAAATTGGGTATCAAAAAAAGTGTAATTAAATAAGGATTTTTAAAAAAGTTTTTTATGCAAAGAAACTTATTAGTTTAAAGTATAAAATGTAAACTAATCTTTTATTTACGGAGGTATTGTAAAAAATAGTCTTAGTGTCTCGTTGTTACAAAAATTATTCAACTGAAACACTTTAGTTAGGTTTGGATTTAATGAAAAAAAAAGGTACACTCAGTCAACGCGTAGCGGCAAATCATTTAACCAAGAAAAGAAATAAAACCTATTCAAGACTCATGAGTTGCTTTATAAATAGCGAAGTGAAGGAACATTTTGCGTGTATTAAATGCTGCAGTAAACGAGGAAATATTACAAGCATATATTAAAAATTTTAAGAATGCGAAAAAAGCAAATGCAGAAAATATATGGAAACTAAATAAAATCAATTTAACTGATGATCCTGGAAAAAGCAAAGTGATATGTCGCCGAGGTATTCAATATTCAGAGAATATTTGTAATTTTTCAAGCACTTCCTTAATGATGCCTTGTAGTGCAGTTGGTGAACTGCTACCACTTTTTGTTTTTTATAAAACCACTCACTTATTTTATGGTTTGGTGAAAGCAATTAACACACAGATTAAAGCATTTGTTATTGTAATAACTTATAAAAATGAATATTTCCATGGAAACCATAGATTGTTTTCACGAGAATGGAGCAACAATAAGTGTCATGATGAAATCATAGAATAATTAAAAAAGGCCTTTAAAAAAAACACCCCAACTTTTTTACACTTGGCACAAAATTATTAGAAGAATAAGCTCCCCTAAAATATTTAGCAAAAGAGGTATCTTTTTAGTTTCATAATTGTTTAATGGTGCAGAATACGATTAAACATTAAAACATTGAAGTTTGTTTATTTATAACATGGAAGTTTAATTTTTTATTTTGACTTTAATGTTTGTTAATTTAAACTTCATTAACATAAAGTAGTGTTTTGTGAAACTACTGAACTAAACTTTACATTATAATCAACTTTCTGAAAAAGAATTTTTTTTAGTTTTAAATTTTATCAAATTTTTTCTAGTTTTAGTTGAAAAGGTTAAATATGTTAAATATGTAATAGGTTACCTAGAAATATGTAATAGGTTAAATATGACTTGATTAACATATTCAAGTTTTTGCAATCTATAGTTGTTTATTCGAAAGAACACAAATAATTAAAAAAAAAAGTCTATTATTTGTATATACATATAGAATTTGTTATATTTTCAAATTACCAATACACATTTGATCTATTATAAGTTATTAGAATAATAATTTAAAGCTCGCCAATCAAAACTGTTAAACAATATAATATAGAAGCTTAAATTTACTTTATTTTTGTTTGTTCTTTTGCAGCCACTTTATTTTGGTAAAAATTGTATAAAATTAAAACCAAACAAAGTTCAATATGGCATATAAAAAATATTTGTAAAATTCAATCAAGAATAATATGGAGGCTTCTTTACGTGGATTCCGTATTCATTAAGGGCTGGTGCCAAATCGTCCATTGTTAAAGTGTAACGTTTATCTTTTCCAGATTTCCTCGATGTCTGACCACTTCCTCTCATTTTGCAATGTTGCAACGCATCGTGTGCAATATCTGAAATAAACTTTTGCGAAGCTAAAGATATGAGACGAACAATCTTTGGATCCACTGACTCAAAACCAGCACGGTGCATATAGTTAATAGTTATAGCGTCCGGAATGCTCGGAGTATAGTCTTCTAACTGGTTGAGAAATTCGGTTAAATTAGCACTTATTGGCGGATAAACATTGTCATTTTCAAAGTCTTTTGGGCTTTCCAAAGACATAAAATCTTGTTTTTGATGGGGCAATTGTACCTGTTGCTGTTGATTAGTTGTGAATATCTGTTGGTTAAGTTTAGATTGTAGAATATTCACGTCAGGCTTACGATCAGGATTATTTTGATTCAAAGGTGATTCAGCCATTACAAAATACTTAGTCCTTTAATTATTCTACGACAACAAAATTTTAGAAAAATATCTTATCATTTATCAACTGATAAAAACTAGTGAAAATATCTAATCAACTGATGTAATGAATACATAAGTCATAATAAATATAACTAAAATAATCGAATATAACTATTAAATGTATATTTACTCGTTACAAACGTTTTGAAATTATAAGAAAAAAAACTAAAACCTTAACTACGTATTTTAAATATTTGAACTTATAGATAAAAACCATTAAACTAGAGTTAGTCACAACACATCGGTCAAAATTAATAACACAATTAACATTCAAAGAGAATTTTTTTATAAGAGTCAAGCTGAGATATCTTAAAAAATCGTAATCACGTTGCAAAGTAGAAAAATGTAATATAAAAATTATGAAGTTTATTTTATTCCATTATTTTACAACCGTTATCGTTGCACATAATGAATCAATTATGCTATATTGCAGCCAATGTATGCGCACTTAATGCATAAAACATCAATAAATAAATTGTAATAATTAAATTTATTTACGGTTTCATTAAAATATCTTCTTTTAACCGGGAAAATGAAAGCATTTGACCTGTTTGCAGCCAGAAGTTTGCCTACTACAACAGAGAAAGCACATTGGTATCATTTCAAGGTACGTTATTATCGTTAGTTATCGTTAATATCTGGTATCGTTACCCTATAACGATACCAGATACTAGTTATTAATAAAATATATCGTAACAAACATATAATTGACTAGCAAAAAATGTCGATTAAAGTTGACGATAACCGATAAAAAAAAATTAAAAAAAAAATTGATTTAATACACTTGATGATCTTTGATGGCGAAAAAAATCTCAGAGTTCGTTAAAATGACGGAATCGACGACACTAGTTCAAATATTTTTTTTCATCTGCTTCTATAATGATAAAAATTATTTAAAAAAACAAAAATAAGAATAATAAAAAAATAAACAACAATTCAATATTTAATAAAAGATTTAAATCTACTGTGCTCTCCTGAGACCATAATGGTAAGTTTTGGTTAACTCAATCTGTTTTTGACTCATTAATATTGGGTTTGGTAAAGTGTTTTTAAATAAATAAATAAAAAAAATTAATTTTCAATTTTCAAAAATGTAAATTTAAAATCTATAAAAATCTCATCTCCCTGCAATACAATTTCTTGCTTATTTTGAAGAGAATATGATGCAGTTAAAAAGTGTTGTCAATGAAACATTTGTACTTCTCGCAAAACAAATTTTTATTGAACAGAGGTGAAACATCAAAACTAAATGATTACATTAAGAGATATCTCAAATTAACATACAGAAACTCAGAAGATCGTGTGATATTCGTGAAATATTTGAACAAATCACAAAAAGTAATCAAAAAATTATTAAAAAGATATGTACTGCTTTTCTTTAATAAGCACAAATTTCTTAAACATATATAAGTAAGATAAATCTCTCTCTCTCTCTCTCTCTCTCTCTCTCTCTATATATATATATATATATATATATATATATATATATATATATATATATATATATATATATATATATATATATATATATATATATATATATATATATATATATATATATATATATATATATATATATATATATATATATATATATATATAGAGAGAGAGAGAGAGAGAGAGAGCTAAAGCTCTCGTTTCTGCAGCCTTGAAAATGTACTAGATGATTAACCTATCATTCATCTTTTAGAATTAACTTTTACTTCCGATCTTTTTGTGGAAACCATATATCAAATTCATTACAAAATTAGCATCTGCTAAGGTTGCATCTCTTTATCTTGCTCGTCTCTTTCTTACTACAGATTCTATTCTTTATCTTAACAAATCTCAAGTCCGTCTTTGTATGTAATACTGTTGTCATATCTGGGGCAGATCTTCGAATGATGCCCAATTTCTTTTAGATAAGGTGCAAAAAGGCATTACAAACTCAGTTAGACCTGTTTTTGCACTCAAATTTCACCCACTATCACATTGTGGTAACGTTGTTTCTCTTTCTCTTTTCTATAAATACTATAATAGAGGAGCAAACATGTTTTGTCCACTGGATCAAATGTGTGGTAAAATAGAAAAAACTTATTATTAGCTTGTACCTTACAAATTAGTATTAGTATTTCTTTTTAAATAAACTTCTTGTGTATTGCTATAGTAAACGGTAGCATTTATCAGAAATTCTATTATGTAAAGCTAATATTTTCATGAAAAAAATTGGACAAAACTCATTTTGCCTGGATCTGTAGGACAAAACATTTGTGGAACTTTTATGGACAAATTTTGATATGAATGAAAATGAATACTAAAATTGAAAATTGTAAAACATTTCAAAAAACATTTTATTTTTCATTTTAAAAAAGTTTCATATTCTAACAGATATTTTCTGTAATAGAAAATCACAGAGTTCTTCTTCCAATTTTTGTTCAGGCAATGCTGGTAGGCTAATAATGTGTTTATAAAATCAAAACGCCTATCTTCCAAGTCTTGCCATTTATTCCTATTTAAAAATTAAATAGGAATGAATGGCATATAAAATTATTCATCCTTGACTATAGAAAAACACCTTCTCGAATGTTAAATTTTTTAAATATCTGTTATTAACGTTTCATTTAGTCAACAAAAGAAACTTTTCAGCATCTGATTCAAAGACAAAATTTTGCTATGCTCTTACTTTGATTGAGTTTTTTTCTTGATTCGTAATTCGTAATGTAGATTCGTTTTACATCTCTTATCATGGGTAGACCCTTATAGTATTTCTGCAGTGATTTTGTGTCTTTTAAATCCCAGTCAATGTCACATTTTCTCACTTGACCTACTTCTGAGTAAATGTCGCAATACTCATCTTTGGATAAAATAATTTCACATTTTCTTAGCTTTTTTTCCAACCTACCAAAAATTCTATCTGTTGGTAAAAAAACTTTGACCACAAACAGGAAAATAAAACTGCATCTTGTTTAAAATTATAGAACTATTGGGTTGAATCTGAAGAAAATGTATTGCTGTTCTCAACACAATATTATTTTTGTTTTGAAAAACACATTTGTCACAAAAAAAGCGTAGTAACTTCTTCAATTGAACATTGGTATGCTGTAAAAAATGAATTAGGGCTGATGATACCTCCTGACTGCCTTTTCCTGCTTGTTCTTCTGTCCAGCTATAAAATAATGCTTTGGTACAGCTAAGATCAGTAATACATAAATTATAAAAATTTATTTGTCTTGAATAAAATGCCTCTTGAATGAAAGCTTTTGGCAAGGGCTGGATTTGCTGCATATCAAAACAAAAAGGCATTAGCTCATTTCTTGTGAATCCTTTTTTGAGTGATATAATTATTACATTCACTGGAGCCTTTATTATTATATTAAATTCATTCACAAAAATTCTTCGTAACATTGCAAAATGGACCTTCTAATTGTTTTTACAGGTTAAATTGAATAGAGTGCTTAAATTTTTGATACTATCGCAAATAAATTCTCCCCGATTTATTCTGATTATAATGGCTTCCCACACCCCGCAGTTAACTTATGAATGCTCTCTTTTCAATAGACTTATGGCTTGTTGTGTATCCACCTTGTTTGTCTTCTACAGGATGTCCAACACTGTTTTCTTGTTAATATTTTGCAATCTTGTATGACCTATTTTCATTACAATGCGGAATAAGTTTTTACAAACATGCAAGCATAGTAACTGGTCAAATTTTAGAAAATATTTTCCGTTGAAATAGTGTTAACCTCCTTTCTTTTGTTTTTGGACTGTGGATCTTGGCTGCTTCTTTTGATAGCACTTGAAACTTCTAACATATTGGCAATCATGTTATCATGTTTGAGTCTGGGGCAGCTGAATATCTTTTTTTTTTTTATCTTTAGCTCTTTTTCATTTGTTACTTTTCTTTTCCTGGTTCCCACATTTGCATCACCCACAAGAACTGTATCTTTCTCATAGTCCGACGTCACTAATTATTTTTTCAATAAAACATCACAAAATCACCACAACAACAAAATTATCAAACACCACTACAATGTGCTACAACTGACAACAAAAACAACAACATAACCACAAAATTTAAATGCATTTCATTCAAAAAGTGTTGTCACAAAAAAATGGCTGCCGTGAAATTGTTTTGATTGGTTAGACAGACAAAATTTTTTTTGAATAAAATTAGTTTGGGACAAAACAGAGTTTGCATTTTACCTTGATTTTATTTTATTTAGATATAAGAAAACATGTTATGAATGAAAATCTCTGCGTTACATTATGGAATTTATAAAAGCAAAACTATTTATTACCATAGAATATTTTTTTATTTTTGTGACAAAACACTATTTGCATGTTTGCTCCTCAATAGTCGCTGCTTTAAAGAACTAATGTCTCTTGTGCCATCTACTAAAATTCAATCTCGTGTTACTTATCACTCAATTAGGTTTCATCCTTTTACTGTGACTGTACCTAAGTACTCCAAAAAATTTTATTTGTCTAGTTTTTTTCCTTGAACATCAGTTCTTTGGAATTTTCTCCCATCATTTCGTTTTCCTAATTCATTTAATTTACAACCCTATAAGTCATCTATTAATAGTATCTTGCTTTATAAACTTCATCTTTTCTCTTCCAGTAACTTCCAACTCTAACAGTGGTTGTTTGCAGCCTTGTTGAAAATAAATATTTGAAATAAAAATAAAAAAAAAGAATAAAAAATTATAACTGAGTCCCTCTCTTTCCCTTTTTCTCACCCTTTTTCTTTCCTATAATATAAATTAAATTTGTTTTTATAAAAAAATGTTTTAATTTATTTTTGTTTTCAAAATTTATTTTATAACACTTTATTAAACCCAATAATAGAAATTAAACAAAAAAAAAAATTTACCATGAGGGTCTCAGGAGAGTAGTGTTAAAGTGACATGTGTTTTAACAATAATTTAAATTTATCAAAATGCTAACCACACGTGTTTCCTGAACACAGTTCATAAAGTCTTTAACCTCTTGAGAACACCTTAAAGGCTTTCCATTGTTTGCTTTGTAACAACTCAAAACAAGACCAAGACTTTCATTACATACTGATTTTTGTTGTAGTGGACTAAAAAGTACAAGTATTTTTAACTTTTTTCCAAAATTTCTTTTTAGCACAAAATAGTTATAACAATTAAATAAGATAAATTTTTTAAACTCAAAATCAAAACTATGTTTTTGATAAAATAAAATAAAAAGTACATTTTAACTAGTTTCTAGCCATCTTCAGATGGATTAATAAAACTGTTTTAAATAAAAATAACTTTATAACAGTAACTAAAATTCAATTAAAATTGTCATAACATGTAGAATGTAACAATTAAAATGTAAAATACAAAAATAAAAGAATTATATATTTAAACAAAACAAAAACAAAAACAAAAAGACAAATAAATAACAACTTCATTAAAATATTATCACAGTTATGCTAAATCAATAAAAAGAGAAACCTTGTAATGGTTTATCTGTTTGCTCATAGCTGAATTTTTCCAACTTAACTTTTCTATCACAACATATTTAGATCTTATACATTTTTATTCAACAGTCATAACAACTTAATTATAATTTTAAATTTAAACTTAATTCAAATAAAATTTGGATTGTTAAAGTACAATATGTACCTTTTACCAACACAAACCTCAAAGTTTAGAATCAGTCTAACTAAAATATATGAATTCATTCTGCACATAAATTTCACCAAAAGTTTCTGTATAGAAATCTCCACAAAAGTTTATGTTTAGAAGAATACTACTTTAGAGAGATTAATTTTTTTTTTTTTTTTAAACAAACCTATCTTCAAAGTCCTTTTTAATGGCCAACTTTGAATTTATGTGAAGTGGCCATAATGACCACTTTATTTAAGTTTTTTCCTCGTTTGAATGTGACCGAAGCAATAATATGACCTTTTTAACACCTCATGACATATGACATACAAATTTGTATGACATATGTTATGAGGTGATTTTTTCATGTGTTCTTTAGTTTACGCACATGTCGCAAATGCTGTATAAAAAAAAACATTTGAATAACTAAAAAAGATTACATAAGAAGCCAGAAAAACTATGAAACTATAAATCTTTGCCAGTTTGTAAAATGAAGTTGTAAATCTTTGAACTTAAAATCTCTGCCAGTTTGTAAAAACAGTAAAGAGTGAAAATTATTCATCCTTGACTATAGAAAAAGACAGAGTGATAGAATATCAAAAGATTCAATAAAAACAGAGTGATAGAATGTCAAAAGTTTCAATAAAAACAGAGTAAAGAGTACACTAAAATTCTGCCAAAACTGAAGACTGAAATTTCAATAAAACCACTTTACAGCTAATACCAAAATATCAACAAAAATATTACTGATAACTCAGTTAAACCAAAAAAAAATTTTATTTGAGAAGGTTACTTGGTTATTATCCGTTCTACAACTTTTTAGAATATTTCCAAAAAAACATCCACACATCAGTTGATGTTGGTGGAGAGGTCCAAAACCTCTTTAAAATTTTAGCTAAGACCATCTTGACTTTACCATTTAAAAACACCAAAAGAACCAGAATCTATGTAATTAGTTAACACTCCTTTTGTCAACCTGGAATTGAACTTTTTTTGTTGTTGTTTGAGATTGGATGACAAGTTTTTTTTGATGTAAAAAAAATTAAAAGTTCAAAGTTTTGAACATTTATCAACCATGGCTTTCACTAAATCTACTGAGTTTCTTTTTTGACAATCAGTTGAAGAGAAATTGAGAAGTACTGTCATTAGTTTTCAGATGTTTCTTAAATCATCTGACAGTTGTTTGTTGCATGACATTCTACACATTCTGAGCATGACAAACAAAACACCATTTGTTCCCAGTCTTTTGAAATGAAATGATTTTTCACCTTCTTAATAACCTTGATGAAAATATAACCATAGACCAAGGTTGTTGGTACCAAATTTCAGCCTTTTTTACAAAGAAATTTTTTACATTAAATGATTAAAGCACTTTTTAACATTTTGTATCCAGTGTCCAGCATTTATCTATTATATATTTAATAATAGATTAACCATATTTTGCTGACCTATTGTAGCCAATGTCATGAGGTAATGAAAGTCTTTTTTTGATAGATTTTAGAGTTTATTATACTTTTTTTATTGGATTTTATATTTTATTATTTTTACTATTTTATATTTATTTTTTTACAATTTTATATTTTACGCCTTTTAATGTTTCAATCTTTATATGGTTTGTTATGTGCAATTTTTTTGATCTTTTTTTTTTTTTTACCTGATGACACTGACCACAATAGGTTAGTGAAATAATGTTAATGTAAAAAATAGAGTAATATTTAATATTTTATTTATGTATTAAAAGTAGGGAAGATGATAAAAGATTCTTTTAGATACATTTTAATAAAATGGATTATGCTTAGATTATTTATTTTATACAAATTTTTTTACTAATACCTTATTTTTCAACAATAGAATTGAAATATTTAAACAAACAATAATAAAAGGACAAATATTATTAAATTTTTCCAATTTTTTTTTTTTTTTGAAAAACCAAACTTTCCAGAACTTCAAAAAAGCAGAACTTTTACAGACGATTTTCAAACTGAAGTTTAAAAACAGTCTTTAAAACTGGACTGGTTGGAAACCTATTGAAAAAATAATCTTGAATTGGATTTTAAAGTTGTAATGTTCCAAATAACATTTATTGTGTTCTAAATAACATTAATTGGGTTCTAAATAACACTTGTTGTGTTCTAAATAACATTTATTGTGTTCCAAATAACATTTATTGTGTTCCAAATAACATTTATTGTGTTCTAAATAACATTTATTGTGTTCCAAATAACATTTATTGTGTTCTAAATAACATTTATTGTGTTCTAAATAACATTTATTGTGTTCTACAGATTTTTTAAAATTTTGAGTTTTAGGAGTTTAAATTTTCTTTTTTTAATAAAACATATTTATTATAAAAATCATTTGTGCACTAATCTTGTTGAGAAAATTTATAAATAGTAAAGATGAAAATGGTGTGTATTGGTTAATTAATCATATTGGATTGGTTTCAGTTCATGCTGAGAAAATAAAGAACTAGTTAAGATTATCTTCTTAAAAAAAAATAATTCTTAAATTCAACTTTTTAACTTAGACTTTTTTAAATTGCAATTTATAAAAACATTTTGAGTAGTTCTAAAAATACAGATAGAAGCACTGCAAAGCTTGAATTATAATGGAAGATACTAAAGAACCCTAAACACGATATAAAAATGTTTAAACTTTGAAAATTTAGTTAATGCGGTTCATTGGGATCAGCAAGTGCAGAACATGTTGCTTCAAATATCTTAAAAACCCAAAATCAAAAAAATATATATTTTTAAAGATGGAAAATTCACAATTGCTACTCACGATAATACTGAATATAGTAACTGGGACTATAATCAAGTGTCTTTCATTCTGGATTTAATCAAGTATCTTTCATTTTGGTCTTAATCAAGTGTCTTTCATTCTGCCTTTGATCAAAAGCCTTTCAAAACAACTATAGAACTTACAAAATGTTTAAAACTATCCCAGTGTCAAACAAAAACAAAACAAAAAAGCATTCAATATTTAGAAAGAATCTCGGGTTTCATAGTAGCATTAAAGATAATATATCTGAAAAAAAAAGTGTTTTTAAAAACCGAAACAGTTAACTTTCTTGTAAAAAAGAGTTTTTGGAAGCTGGAGATATAGAAAACAAATAAATAGATTATATAAAAGATATTAATGAATTTATTTATGTTATAAAGATATATTGAACCACTTTTTACAACTGTAAGAGTTGCTGTATATTCTGGTCAGGTTTTTCAAAGGTCACTATGAATATTTTTGTCTGAATATTCTGAATAATAAAACTAGCAACCAGGATGATGCTGGAATTAAGCATTGTTATATTGTTGCTATTATAGAAGGAGAACAGAACCGAAATCATAGAATCATAGAAAATTAGTTGATCCTATTAATTTTTGAAATATTAAGTATTCTGTTGCAAAGAGTGCAAACTCAATGTTTTGGCATTATAGTTCATGCTGGAAAATACAGTTTGTGGTGTGAAAGAGATTTTTTGCATGGTGGAAAAAAAAAACACTTGGTTTCAGCGATTATCATTACAGTAAATATGCAGAAGTTGGAAAACCAAAAATCAAAGATGGCTGAATATAAAAATTTGTCACCAGGCAAAGAATAAAAACACTGCAATTGATAGTTTAATTCAATCAATAATTTAAATGAAACACAGATAAATACATTATACATTTAATGCATAATAATTTGTTGAAAGATAAAAACTTACTTGATTTTATCTTCGATTTCTTTAACACCTCTATCAAACTCATCAGAAAGATTGACTAATTTTTTATGAAGCTAAAGTAATAAACCCAATAAATATAATGTTTGTTATTATTGCTATTATTATTAAATATATCATACTTTGTAAAACTGTGCATCATGATAATTCAATAAAAAAGAAAATCAACCTCATTCTTTACGTTATCTAACTCAGCTTCTTTTTCAACTAATTTGGCTTCTTTTTCTTCTGCTAGTTTTTTATAACTTTCAACTTCTTGATTATCTAACAATTAGTTAATATGTATTAACAGTTATATATCAATACTAACCCTCAGAATTAACAGTTATATATCAATACTAACCCTCAGAATTAACAGTTATATATCAATACTAACCCTCAGAATTAACAGTTATATATCAATACTAACCCTCAGAATTAACAGTTATATATCAATACTAACCCTCAGAATTAACAGTTATATATCAATACTAACCCTCAGAATTAACAGTTATATATCAATACTAACCCTCAGAATTAATAGTTATATATCAATACTAACCCTCAGAATTAACAGTTATATATCAATTTTAAACCCTCAGAATAAGGAAAAATGAGCTTGGCAATAATTAACTGCTGACCTTAAACACTTTAAGGTCAGCAGTTAGGTCGGCTTCGCCGAATGCTGACCCTAATTCCAATGGCTGCAATATTAGAATAAAATTAGAATTAAAAAATTGAATAACAACTATATAAAAAAATAGAAATAAAAAAAAAAACATTGATAAGTTCAAACTAAAAAAAGCAACTTTATAGCATTTAATGTAAATGTCAATTTTTCATGTAAAATGTAATTAAATAAAATGCAGATTTATAAAGTTTCAATTATTTAGACAGCAGTGCAATGTTGCAGTCATATAACAATTAAAAGTAGTCAGACTTATTTATATACCTTGCATAGAAAGCTTTTCTTTCCAGTAGTTTTCTATTTCTTGAAGTTTGTGTGTATGTTCCTCATTTAGACTTTTCTCTCTCTCTTCTAACTTTTGTTTTAATAAATCAATATCGTGAACAGATTTTTTATATTCACTTTCTTGTCCCTAGTAACCAAAAAATAAATATTACAATTAACTATTGAGTGTTTTGTACAAATTTTAATTTTCTTGAAATTAAAAGAAATAAAAATCAATACAAAACACAATACAAAATGCAACATTTTTCTGAAATTTTTTTGCATATTTATTATACTCTTAATTTTTTAAGTTTCAACTTTGTCTAATATATTTATATATATATATTCAAGCATTTAAAACAAATTACTTTGGTTTTGAGAGCAAACTTTAAATGCGTAATTGATAACAGGTATCCAAAATATTTTTTATACATTTTATAAAAGATTTTTAAGCTGTGGAAATGGTAAACCTCTATTTAATGTACATATTAATACTTTAATATCATATATACTGGTATTTAAAGTACATATTAATATGTACTTTAAATACCAAGTTTATTACTATAGATGATAAAGAAATTGTTTTACATTTTTGGATTTATCAGAGAAAGTTTATTAATGAACAATGAAAAGTTTATAGTGAGAAAAATTTTTGTATAGAATTTGTAACATTGTGGTATCATTTACAAATTAATACCAAAAATATTCTCTAAAAAATAAAAATTAAAATAAAAACTTTACTTTGCGGTATGCTTGCTCTAACATTTCTTTTAGTTCATCCTCATTGTAAAATTCTTCAACTGAATGTTGTTGGCTGCCTAAAATAAATGTTAAAGTTTCAACAAAATATAAAAAAAAAAAAAAAAAATTTAACACAATAAAAAAAAACAAATAATGTCAACTTTATTGCTGATTTAGTGCATATGCATAATCTAAATGCAATGCTATCAGTGACAAAATGTCACTGATGACATTGCATATGGATTGATCTCTAAGTATTATATATATGTATGGAAGAGATAAAAGAAACTTTTATTGTTGTTGTTTTTGTATCTTTAAACAAATATTTTTATTATAGTTGCATTAATGATTGTGAAGCACCAAAAAATTCAAGCTAAATCAAGATTAGTAAAAAAGGTTTTGAACAACATACCATAAACAAACATTTATAAAACCTTTGTAAAACTTTTAACTTGTTCTGCACAGAGCTTTTTAAAAACTACCAATTAAAAAAATGATCATAGTCACAAAATAAATTAATATGTTAAATCAGCCAAGTAGAATTGAACCCCTATTCTTAAATATTAAGGGCAAAAAATTTCCAAGTTATTACTACTATTATTTTAAACTAACTTTATGTTTAAATTTTGTCAACAGATTTTAAATTTCATCTAATAATGTGTAAGTGTTCAAAAATTATGATCATGCAAAGTTTATAAATACCTCATTTTAGAAAACATTCAAATACAGTATTAAACAAAGTTTGAAATCTGTTAAAGATTATATTGCCCTTACAGAAAGGGAGAAGGAGGTTGAGACATAAATTTTAGAGCTTTTGATGCTCCTAGTTTTTTTTGCTCTAATAATGTCAGATCTCAATTTAGAAGACAGTTATTGGTAATGAAAACTACATTAACAAAAACTATATTAAATCACCATTTAATGTTGATTCAGATTTTTTCCCTTTAAGATGAGCCAATACATTCTCTGTTATCTGACATGGAAAAAAAAATCACAAATAATTAAGAACAATTAACAAATAACTAAGTATAATTAACAAATAATTTTTTATATAAATATTGATATAAGAACAAAGAAATAATAAATCAAAAATAATCCTAAATCATCTCAAATAATATATATATATATATATATATATATATATATATATATATATATATATATATATATATATATATATATATATATATATATATATATATATATATATATATATATATACACTTTACAACCTCTCTAATTTCAATTTCATGATAAAAATTTGAACATAGAAGAATTTGAAATTGGAACAAGCCGAGTTTTTAAAAAAGATTTTTTTACTAAACAGACAAGAGCAAATGATTCAGAAAAATATCACCCTATATCTCAGATTTTGCTGATTTTTATACAATTTAGAGTACTTGGTAAAAAAAGAATTCCTAAAAACATTAGCCTATGGCTCCAAGAAGATCCTGAAATATGACCATTTTACTTTTAGCAGATATTTGCCAGGTCCAGAGTTGTAAACAGAATTGTAAACAGAGTTGTAACGTTTATTTATAGATTTTAAGTTACATTTCTTTAAAAATATTTTTTTACTTAAAAATTTGTACATAGTTATTTTCAGGGGTGAGGAATCCAATGAAATGATCAGAAATGTAAAAAATTATTATTAAATACCTTTATTTATCAATTTAAACAAATTTAGGCAATTTCTTATATACCTGATTTTGATGCTCAAGAAACTCATGTGGCCTTGATGATATCAAAAAATTTTTTACACATTATTCTATATTTACTAATCTTTCAGAAAGCATAAGGATTTCGATTTGCAAGTATATGAATTTCCATATGTGGATAATAGGGCGTAATCCACTTTTTTTTGTAGGGGTATATTGCAGCTAATTTTTCACTACTTTCCAGACTAGCTGGATCTCTAAAACTTTTGGAATTTATGTAGTACCAGTGAACATGTATGTTAAAAGTCTTCCAGGGCACAAGACACCAAAAAAGTGGGGTCCATGCCCTGATCTTCATATAGGCTATTCCGCAAGAAAAAGGAAAAAAAAAAAAAAAAAAAAAAAGTTATGAAAACACATACTAAACTCCATAACTCTTTTTTTTAACTATTCAAAATACTTTTAAGCAAAAAAGTTATGAAAAAAATCGTTTTACCATAGCATAACATGATTTTAATGATGCAAAAGTTATATAAATGTGTTTTGATGTTTATTTACAGTCCTGTTGTGTAGTGTTAAAAATCGTACCATTAAAAACATAAATGAGAACTTTGATAATGTTAAAGTACATTTTTTAACTTAGTTTACATGGTTTTTAATAATCATTTATACTATTTTTCTTACATCATTGATTGGGTCGTTTTATTTATTGTTTTTCAATATTGGATTTTTTGTTACGACCGTCATGGTTACGACTGTCACAACAAAAAAAACATAAAAATGTTTGTCAAACTTCAAGTAAAAACTATGAAACTCAGCATATAATAATATCAATATATGCTAAGTACACACACCAAATGATTTTGTTTTGTTACCATGCAGCTCGCTACATTAAGTCTGGCAAAGTTATTTTGTTCAGAAATGGTAAAAAGTAAACCTTACAACCATCACGCTATGTTGAGTTAATTTTATAACTCAACATAGCGTACTTTACAGTATTAAGGTCTTAATAGTATTAAGACCTTAATACTGTAACTTTTGCACACTAAATTTTATGATACTATTTCACATTTCTGGAAAGTGTAAAGCCATTTCCATTTTTGGTTCATTTTAAATAGCATAATTCATGACTGTCACTCTCGCCAAATTATCTATATATAGAAATCCATATACTAGCAGATTAAAATCCATACTAGATTCCTACAAGATCAATTAATATGGAATGATGTGTAATTTTTTTTTTTTTTGATATCGTCAAGGCCACACAAGTTTATTGGGCATTAAAAACAGGTATATAAAAATTTTTCTTAATTTATTATTTATATTGATAAATATAGGTACTTAATAATAATTTTTTGTATATCTGATCATTTTATTTGATTTGTCACCACTGAAAATAACAAAGTACAAACTTTTAAGTAAAAAAATCAAATATTTTTAAAGTAATGTAAGCTAAAACCTCTAAATAAAGACTACAACTCTGAGGGGACAAGTGGATCCTGGCTAATACCAGCTAAAAGTAAAATGGTCATATTTTGGAATCTTCTTGGACCCAGAGGCTTAAGTATTTAAGGAATTCTTTTTTTACTAGTACTCTAAACTGTATAAAAATTAGCAAAATCTGGGATATAGGGTGATATTTTTAAACATTTCTGGGTCATTTGACATGGAATTACCGTAATGTTAATTAGTTAACAGGCTTTGTGATGAAACTGAAGCGATCTCCCCACGCACATGATACATGCCCGTATATGACCTTCCAGGCATGATAAATAGTTTTGCTACAAGAGTAAGAAATTGCGCTCGCCTGAAGAACTTGCGAGGGAGAATATTATAAGTTGATTTTATAGAAAATATTTTTATCAATTTTTATTTTGCTGAAGTTAAACAGTAGAATTAAATTGCATATTATTAAATAAAGAAGTTATATTCGTAATGAAGTAAGTTACGCATAATTTATGCATGACATACTTAAAATTTAATTTATGCAATATAAGTTCAAATTAAAAATAATTTATTTCTTCTATTTAAAAACTAAATCCAGATTATTATTTTTTTAAATTCCAGGTAAACTTTATCATATAATCCACTTAATCGTACCCTAGTTAAGTCAAATCATTTGCTAACTTATATATTTTTTTAGGGTCCATTTGACAAAAAAATTCGTTTAACAAGAACTTTTACTTTGAATTGTGTAAAAGTTCATGTAATAAAATATCAAAACTTGCAACACTTTAATTAAAATTCCAAAATGTTAAATAATTAAATATCTAGCTTAATATTTATAAATATCTCATAAATAAATATCTAGCGTTAAAAGTTTAATAAACGAAAACTTCACTTAAAGCTTTGATTTCGTACAGGTTCTAATAATTAATGACTATTATATTTAAAATTAAAAAACATCAAAACATTGGAATATTAAATATTTTTTGTCAAATATAAGTTAATAAACTAAATACTTTCACTGGTATCTTCGAATCAGTTAAGCTTATATTATTAAGTCTATCTATTGAAAAAGTTAAAGCTAAACGCAATTTAAAATTTTTAAAAAAAGTTTCAATAAACAATACGTTTAGCAAATATATTTGTTATATAACTTTGAATTGAAACTTTTGGAAACGTGCTCACAAACAACAAAAGAAAAAATATTGTCACAAGTTTCACAATGCATTTCTCAAAATATACGGCAGTATATAAGTTATTAATATATTATATTTGTATAAGTATATATATACTTCCACTAATATAATTACATTAATATAAATCTATTATATATTTATTAAGTACATAATCAAGTATATAAAATATTATTTACTTAAAAGTAATTAAATAGCGCATTCAGTTCAAATTAGAAACAGTTTTCTATTTTGTACAAACAATGAATGAAAAGATATGGAGTCATTACTGCTAACAGATAGAATGGAATGTTTACTATTTTCAAAACGTTTTATCCCAATGAGAATAGAAAACTTATATTAAAAAATTAAAACTTGATTGGATTTCAAAAAACCAAGTTTTAATCAACAAAATTTTCAAAAAACTTAAGGTTTTGTGCTTTGTTTTGAATTTTTCACACATCTTTTGTAAATAAAAAAAATATTCTTTAATCTTTTTTTTTTTTTTTTAAACTAATATTTATCTTTAAATTAAATTAAAAATGTTTCTGTTATTTAGAATATCCGCAATCAAGCATGTTAATTCAACTCCAAAAAGGAAACTTTTTGAATGACCCCCTCCACATACTTGCGTACGTAATTTACGGGCGGGCATAATCGCACTGGTTAATAATGCTTTTCAGTATTATGAGTGCAATATTACTTAAAAATGAAATAAATAGTATGATACCGTATATGATGTTTTAATGCTTATAATATTATTACACATACTATTAAAGATAGCCCTTATATATATATATATATATATATATATATATATATATATATATATATATATATATATATATATATATATATATATATATATATATATATATATATATATATATATATATATATATATATATGTATATATATATATATATATATATATATATATATATATATATATATATATATATATATATATATATGTATATATATATATATATATATATATATATATATATATATATATATATATATATATATATATATATATATATATATATTGGTTGGAGCTGCAAGAGCAGGTCCAACTATGTTTACAATGCATTTTTGCACCTTGTCTAAAAAAGAAAGGGCATCATTGGAAGATCCGCCCAATATATGGCAACAGTATTCCATACAAGGATGGATTTGAGACTTATAGAGATAAAGAACAGAATCTGAAGAAAGAAAGTGTCAAGCATGATAAAGAGATGCAACCTTAGCAGATGCTAATTTTGTAATGGGTTTGAAATATGGTTTCCACGAAAAATCGGAAGTAAGAATTAACCCTAGAAGATAAAGGGTACATGACTCATCAAGAACATTACATTTAATAAATAAAGGAAGATTAGCTAAAAAAAATTGGATTTTATCTGAATTAAAGTTCACCAGCCACTGCGAGTCCCATTTTGTAGCAGAAGTGAGATCCTTTTCAAGCTCAAATGCCTTTTCCAAGCAATCAGAGAGTGTTGGCTTCTTATCAAGACAAGAATAAATGGTAGTATCTGGAATAAATAATAGTATCTAGAATAAATGGTAATATCAAGACAAGAATAAATGTGATAATATCTGGAAGATCGTTAATGTAAATTAAAAAAAGTATAGGGCCAAGAATGGAATATTGAGGAACCTCTGAAGTTACAGGGTATGAAGAAGAGTGCTGTCCATCAAGGACAAATTTTATACTACGATTGGTAAGGAATGATTCAATAATGTTACCTGAAACACCATTTGTTACCTGAAACACCATATATGTTACCTAATACATAATGTTACCTGAATAATAAAAGACATAATGTTACCTGAAACACCAGTTACTGAAACACCAATAATGTTACCTGAAACACCAAATGTTACCTGAAACACCATAAGAAGAAAGCTTACGGAAAAGACTAGCATGCCAAACTTTATCAAAAGCTTTAGAAATGTTAAAAGCTTAACCTTTCTATTCTCAAGAGCCTTAACCTCTCCACCTCTATCTAGCGCACAATAAAACCTATCGGTTATTACTGTTAGCAAATCAGCTGTAGAACAAGAAGATTGAAATCCATATTGATGATTAGAAAGTAAGTTATTCACTATGAGAGATTAAGTGTTTGTTTATTAAAAACAAAAACCTTGCTTATAATAGTAAGAAGACTGATGTGACGGTAGTTAGACAAGTCAGATCGCTCTCCAGAATTTTCGAAAATAGGGATAACAGATGCCACTTTCTAATAAGCACTTATTAAATAGTTTTGAAAGTATAGACAACAGCTCTAGACCACACTTCTGCAAAACTAAAACAGGTATGTTGTCCAGACCACAAGCTGCAGAAGAGTCTAAACAGGAAATCACTTTAGATATAGAAGCTAGAGTGATATGAATGTCAAGCAATGGATCAACCTGTTTGTCGAGTATATCAGGTAGAATGCAACTAGTGGAATCAAGAGATAATATTGATAAAAAGTTCTTAGCAAACAATTCAGCTTTGTCTTTAGGTGAGGTGACAAAATCTGAACCACACACAAGAAGTGGAATAACAGATTTGCCCTTATTATTTATACTGTTAAAGATTCTCCAGAAGTCACAAGATTTCATGGTCTGAGAATAGCGGGCTTTGGCATTAGACAAACCTAGAAATAATTGCTATGTATAGAAACAATGGTTTCTAGCCATAATAAACAGACGTTTGTTTTCTGGAGAATTGTTTTGCTGATAGATAGGGAAGTGATGGTTTCGATTAGAAACTACAGCAGCATAATGTGAAGAAAACCATGGAGGCTTGACTTGGAATCGTCGAGGGAGAATAAAAGACTCCATGCCAGCCTGAACTCAAGAAGTTATGTAAGAAGCACATTTGTCAGCAGAAAAACAAAAAATTTCTACTCAAGGGTCATCACGAAGAAAATCACGGTAAGAGACCCAGTCAGCTTTAAGGTAGTTATCATAGGTACAATGATAGGGGGATTCTGATGATGAAGAAGAATAAGATAATCGTTTTAGAGAGATCAAATGGTGATCAGAAGCACTTAAGGGGGAATGTGGAGAAATTGAGGACTGAATAGGATCAGAAACAAGACTTAAGTCAAGTAGAGAAGGTAAACAATTCGGGTTGTCTGAAGAGCGAGTTGGAAAGTTCACTATTTGAGCTAGAGATTAAAAAAAGGCAAAATGGCATATAAACGACATATATATATATATATATATATATATATATATATATATATATATATATATATATATATATATATATATATATATATATATATATATATATATATCAGAGTGTTACTCAGCCTGATGGCACCGCGTGTTACGTGGTATTCCCAATTGGTTTAAAATTCCCAAAGGTTAATAAGATCGAAGTAAAAAAAAAAAAAAAAAAAAAAAAAATTTTAATTGCGCTTTTCTCAAAATACGTAATTAAGGCGTTTTGAAAAACGGCTGCAGTATATCAAAAACAAAGAAAAGAAGCGATTTAAATGAAATCTTTAGAAGATTGCTCATAATGAAACAAGTTGATTAATTAAAATTAAAGATATACAAAGTAGAAAAATAATCCTGCTGTAAATGTAACTCCCAGCAAAAATAGAAAGTTTATTTTGATTAAATTTAATTGCAAAATGTAAGGACCTTTTTTTTTTTTAGCTGCACCTAAATTCCCAATTTCGCAAAAACGCTGTATAAAATTTTTTCCTGGGTAACACCCTGTATATATATATATATATATATATCAGGCTTTTCCAGGAAAGGCGTGTGGTCGCACGCCTTGTTTGTCCACGCATAGAATAAATTTTTCTGACTAACTGACCACGTTTTATTATTATGCGTTTCAAGAGTTCGCGCCAAAACAAAGCTAAACGAAAATACCACAAAAATGCAAGCAATCTTAAAGTGAATAACAGAAATCTGTTTGTGCTTTAAAATTAAAAAATTAATGCATATTATTAAAAAAAAAATTTACCTATAATTTATTTATTTATTTAGAGTGGTAGTTATTTAAGCTATGAAAAATCAAATCAATAAGAAAAATCAAATCAAAAAGAAAAAGATTAATGCTTAAAGAAAATAAAAGGACCTTTTAATGTAAAATTTGTTTATGACTTTTATCAGTCAGTAATACTTTAAAATTCACGATAGAACTATAAACAATTTTTAAATGTTTGTAAATACATTTAAATGTTTAAATGTATTGATTTTAATGTTTGAATGTATTGATACGCAAGAAAACACGAAAACGATTGCTATTTATTAGTAAAATATGTTTTTTTTTTTTTAAATGAAAGAAAATGTTATTGTCAAACGATTGAGTTGCTTATTTTGCGATTATTAATTGACATGAACAAGTGTTAATATATAATAATGTCCCGAAGGAACTGTTTTTGTAACAATGACAACAGAAGCAATGCAATTATTTTTTTAACTTCTTTCATAATTACAAAATTATGCAATTGAATAATTTCAACGTAATAAAAGGCGAGCATTGACTCAGTAAAATCAGTTTAGAATAAGTCGAGAACTTTTTTCACATTAAAATTTTGTTATGTTTAAAATCTCAAATAATATATTTAATAATTAAAACAGTAATTTATTTTCTTGTCTAAGTATTGGGGAATAAAGTCATTGCCTTTGCATAAACCTTCGTAAAAACTAAATTAAATGGAAAAGTTTGACCAAATTTGTCTAGTGTAAATAATGAATCAATTTTTTAATACATTGTCTGATAAAGTTCGTGAATAAATTACGTATCAAGTCTTTTTATTTTTGTAAAAACTTTAAGACTTATCGTTGTCTTTTCCTTGACTTGTATCAAATTTCGTAGCTGAAAATAGCAACCCTAATAAAAGAAAACAAAAACAGTATAAAATTTTGAAAAAAATGTTTAAGACTTTTTTTTTTGTTACAAGAATTTTTTTTTTTTAATTTTTTTTTTTTTATCGAAATATTTTTCTTACATCCAATTTCAATTTTATACTTTGTTTAGACTTCGTTTCATTTTTTAAATATTATTTTTTATTCTCTATGGATAATTTCCGCTTTCTTATGAAATATTGCCGCGGTCACATTTTCTGAAAAATTTATTCTATGCGTCGACAAACAAGGCGTGCGACCGCACGCCTTTCCTGGGAAAGCCTGATATATATATATATATATATATATATATATATATATATATATATATATATATATATATATGTATGTATGTATGTATGTATGTATGTATGTATGTATGTATGTATGTATGTATGTATGTATGTATATTCTGAAATATGATAAATTTTTAATAGACATTGTAGTAGATAATGCATTATTATTATTTGCTGTCTGAAAGTATTTCAATAAATTCGGGAATATTTTTTTCTTAAAAATGTACAAATTTTATAACAAATACACATTTTATTAAAAATATATAATATTCATTCTATATTATATACATATAAAACAAGAAATTTTAAAATTATTAATGAAGTATTTTATAACATTTATGTTTATATTCAACACCCAGAAAATAACAGTTTATAGCTAATATAACATAAACCAATACCTGGATGGTCCCATCATCAGATCTTTGCAATGCTATGCGTCGAGTTGTAGATTCGCCATTACCCATTTTTTTATAAATATACCATTCAGTAAATTGTTATAAATCTGCCCATAAAGAGCAATAGAACGATTTTTATATCATAAACTAATATTAGTAAAAATAAAAAAACATTTAGAAATTTATAAATTTCAAAATTTTGAACTTTTTTTATCCATACATAACATGATATAAAAAAACTGTTTTAAAAAGAAACAATCTTATTATTACTTTATAATATTTACATTTACTAATAAACTTAGTCAAACCCAATCTAAATGTTTAAGGTAAAAAATTGGCAAGCACCATGAGAGGCAATTTTTGTGGATAATAACTTTGAAATAAATTATAAATATGTTTAACATAAAAAAACAGTAATTAGAATTAATCCAAGAAGACATAAGAAGAGGAATTAGTAAGAGCGTTGCTATTCATAAAAATAGCCATAACCATAATACTTATTATAACAAAAATAACAAGAAGACTATTAGCATTAAGCAACTGAGTTTTGTTTTGGTTTTAATTCACCAGCCACTGTATAAAAAAAGGATCAAAACCCGTACTGATCGTCCGAGAATAAGTGTTTGGACTAAAGTCGAGATAACAGAAATTTGTTAATTAAAGATTCAAAGACTTTGCTGAAAATAACAAGAAGACTGAGTGGGTAAGAGGGGCCAGAGATAGAGGGGTCAGAGCGATCTCCACAGTTACTGAAAATAGGAACTTTCCAACAGACAGGAAAACAAGACTCAGTTTAGCTTTCAGTATAATTCACTTGTTGACTAGTTTAGAGAGAAACAAAGAGAGTTCTGGAGAACACTTTTAAAAGACTGTGACACAAAAACACTTTTGTGGGCCATTTCACCATGTGAAAACATTTAATTTTTTCATATAAAGCAACCCTAAGTTTGGAATGTTTTGTGTCATATTGTGCTGATTTTTACAACAATCAAAGATTTTAATAAACTATGAACATCCTAAAAATGTTATGATCTAATTCTGACCCATTTCAAAGATATATCTTTGAAATGGGTTAGATCATAACATTTACAAAAGAGTACTAAATTTTTTTTTTTTTTTTAGATTTTATCTTAAACAGACTAGTTATTAACAGATTGATTATTAAAATCCCCTTAAGACAGTATAGGTGGTATTGCTAAGAAAACAACAGCATGAGCATGTTTACAAAGACCATTGGAAAATCAAATATTGAGAGTTGATGATATACTTGAGTTTTGTATTGCCAATATTAACACAATCATATTTTATAAAATTACCAAAGAAAAAGCAACAGTGCGGCAACAATGACTGAATAAATGATGTTATATAGAAAACCTGTTCCAGGGACTAGACATTACCGCCATTACACACCTACTTTAAACTTTGAAATTAGTTGTGCAGACAGAATTATAATTTCGAAAGCAGCAGTATCTGATGTTGTGGTTGTACTAAATCTAAATGACTTTGTGGAGACAGCTAAAAGCAGTACTTTCAACACTGAATAGTTTCCTCTGAAAAATTATTTTTTTCCCTCACCAAAAAATCCTGGATTTGTCACTGAATATTACACCCATGTGTGAGAGATGGAACATTAGACTTTTTTATTAACAGAGTCTCAAGAAGCTAATTCCTGAGATAGAACAAGAGATTAAGTATTTTACTAAATCTCTTGTTCTATCTCAGGAATTAGCTTCTTGAGACTCTGTCAATAAAAAAGTCTAATGTTCCATTTCTCATAAGAATCATGGACCTTGGCATCAATATCTTACAATCATAAAAGACATTTGTTCTTCAGAGAGTTGTTCTTGATATAAAGATGAAAGAACAAAATCTTGTGTGTCTGTCTATATCAGAGGATATAAAGAAGACTGAATTTTTAGCAGAAAAACAAGACCAAAGACCATTATGAAAAATATTATGAAAATAATCCCAGTCAGTCTTTAGGTACTTGTGAGAAATGTGATGAATTGAGTCAATCTGATGAAGAAGAAGTACATATTTAAAGATTTACTGAGATTAAACATTAAAATTAAGTGTAATGAGCATTTCAACCACCAATGACAACAATACTAAAAGAAGGCTATCAAGAAAAGTCTAGGTCAATTTGATTAAAAGCAACAAAAATGAGTGCAGTAATACAATTGGTCACAGAAAATTTGGGACTCTTGTTCCTTATGATAAAAGTTATTCATAACATAACACTTTTTCTTTTTGCAACAACTTTATCAAATATTTGCTTATTTAAACTTTAAATTAAACTTTCAGTTATTTTGTATGAAAGCTGTCTAATGAATAAAATAAGCTAAAAAGTTTTGAGTTTGGCCAAAAGTGAGCGAACTTATTACTGAAAATGCCATTTACACTTATGTTACACGGAAAACAAGGTAAAAAAATTGCTTCAACTTTAACCAGCTAAGGAAAATAAACTTGTTTTTTTGATACTGTATATTTTACTTAAGTTACATCACTTACATTATCGAGTGGTTATTGTGAATTTATTTTGTCTATTATTAAAGGGACTACCAAGTCCCGAGACATGTTGTGCTCATATTAGAGAGAATGTTAAAAAAAAACCTTTGAGCAATTTTTTTTATTAAAACTAATTAATAAATGTATACCAAGAAAAACCAATCTTGTTATTTTACTTGAAGCTTGTCTTCTCCATTTTCTGCTGTATTTGGAGTCTGTAAAATCAACGCAATTTTCCAGGCGCATCATGCCGACTTGATAATTTATTCAAGTGTGTTTAATTCATAGAAGTTTTAGTACATGACTTTTACAATAGTAAAATTTTACTATTAAATTTTACTAAAATCTGATAATATTGATACGCTAATTTAATAGTAGTTAATAGTCGACTTACGTAATTTTCTAGGCTTTTCTATTTTAAAGTAGTTTCTAGGTTTTTCTATACGCAGTTTTTTTTAATTTTATTTACTAACAACCCGGGTTGTTTACTGCTTGTAGCTAACTATAGTTATTTATTTTATTTTCTAAAATCTTCACATTGAAAAAAACTTTGTTTTTTTGTAGCTCCCAAAGCTGTGGCTACATGGGCCACAGCGATAGTGGACTTAATGACCCCTATGGGGGGTCTATGTATCACCAGTGTTCTTTACATTTTGATGCAAGTTGTTTCGACAAACCTAACGAACAATTAATTAAACCAAGCACTAGGAAGAGATATAGAAAATAAGAATATACTAATAAAATATATAATTTGTAATTAACTTTTAAATTTTGACAATTTTAAAAATATATATTATAAAACATTTATTTTTGTAAACAAATGATAATAGTTTTAAAAGATTTACGGCTTTGCAGATGTGGCTCCGAGAATGAGCCATAACATTAAAGTAATAGTTCATTTGATAATATATTTTTAAAAAAATTTATGCTAGATATCTCAAAATACAACAAATCGTAAATAATACAATTCCTAAAACATTTCAACAGAATACTCTAGAATTTTATTTCGCTAAGTTAGTGTATTTTTTAAACCAATAGAATAAGTTTGTTCGTAAAATTGGTGGTTTTTAGTGTTCGCAAATATTCTTTTTATTCTTGCCAAGATGTTTTAAGAACATTCAAATTAATTATGCTTCCATGTATGTCCGTAAAAAAAAAAATTTATATTAATTTTTTTTTTTAATATATATTAATTTTTTAATTTTTAAGCCCCCACCTTAATATATATTGGATGTTATAATAATGGAAATATAAATAATGAAACAAGATCACCTCAATACAAAAAAATACATTTTTGAAAATCGGAGAAAAAATGTGTTAATAATATTTTTTTTATAGTTACAAAGTAAATTAATAAAAGTGCATTATTATTTAGGTTAAAAATT